CAGTTACACGTGAACATATGTGTTTTCTTCTTAATTGAATTTCAGATACACGCCTTTAGGATAGTCTCAATTTTTAGGAAATCTGAGATGAATGTTCTTTCTGATTTCCTCTGATCAACAATAAATTCTGAGCCATTTAGCCAAGATGAGGCTACAGCCGTCAATCCTGGAGTAAAGCTTTGCCATCAGCCTTTTAAAGCTGTGCCTCCCTCTGCTTGAGACAGTGCCATGAAGGTGATGCCGGTACTCTCTTTGGTGTTGTGTGAGTGCAGTCACCCTCTCACTGAGATGAATAAAGGAAAACGAATAGTTCCTTATTGGGTTTCTTGCCCCTCATTGCAATTTAATTACCATTCCTCTTATCTAATATCTCTTTCACATTCACTAGTTTTGAACTAGTTCCTGATCATTATTAAGGTCTAAATTCAGCCCGCTTCTGAAAAGCTCCTGATTAATCTTTGTAAGAAACATGTATCTTCATTTTAAATAAAAATCTCTCCTTCATCAAATTCTCAAGAAGCATTCTGACCTTCTCTGAGTAGTTATAATTCTCTATTTTTTCCCTACTCTAGTTTGTGGCTTTCTTGGTTATATTTAATTTTTTTATTACAATTTCATCCTATTGATGTGGTATTCTATAAAATACACTATTAACAATTTTAAGCAGACATAAAATTCCTGTGTGCTTTGTTTTAATTGGACCCCAGGCACACAGAATTGGATAAAATCATGATCCTTGTCCAAGACACTTTTGCCACTGATGGATCCCTGTTTCACTGCCTGTGTATTTGTTAATTTACAGTTATTACAGTTACCTATGAGCCTACCACCTGAGACTCTGAAAATTTAAGCCTAATTATGTAAAGCTCTTCTAGTTTACTCCCTGGCTACTTCTTTACTATTACACTGATTTTTAACCCTTAACTTGAAAAAAATGTTTTTGAGCTTTTTAAAAAATTGGATCATACTGTTTATTGTCCTCTGGGACTTATTTTTTCACTCAACAATGTGTTACTAAGATTAACCTATGAAACATGTAGCTGTTCATCATTATTTTCTTAGGTGTGTTATTGCCAATCTAGTGGCCCCTGCTCTCTTAGGTTTAGTGGCTGGGGCCCTGCAAAAGAAACTGACAGCAGATTAACAGAAGAAAAAGTTGATTACATACACATTGGAGGCCTTCACAGAAAAGTAGTGAAGACCCAAAGGAAGGTTAGACCTGAGGACCTGTTTTAACAAAGAGCAGTACTTTATGGAGAAGTGACAAAGGAAGAGGGTTTGGGCTCCCAGAGGTGGTAAATGGTGGGAAGGTAAATATATGGGGAAACTAATGGAAGAGAAGGGCAATTTAGTGAGGTTTCTTTGTGCAGATCCATCTCAGTGCCAACTCCCTGTTTCTAGTGATAATGGTTGTTCTCTTCTTGATAAGGGAAAGGGGAAGGGAGGCTGCTGTTAGGCAGAAAGGAGGGTAGAGAGCTTTTCCTGCATCTCCTGTTTCTCAGTGGCTGTCAGCTCAAAATAATTCTTACACCAAAGTGCCATGCTTGGTGGTGGCATACTCTGACCTTCACTAGGTTGCGGGTGATATAAAAAAATGATTTAAACTTCTACCAGCAATGTGTATGAAGCCTCATTCATTTATATTGTCTCCACTATTTGGTATTGTCAGATTTAATTTTTTTCCCATCAAATACGTATAAAATAACATCCTGTATATTTTCATTCTCCTTATTACTGATGAAATCAAGCATCTCTCCATATGTTTATTGTCTTAGGAATAAGCGTAACAAAGGACAGAACTAGAAAATTATAAAACTTGTCCGAAAGCATTTAAAGAAGTGGGAAGATATTTCATGTGAATATGTAAAAATACAGTTACTCCCAAATTGATCTATAGATTTATTATAACTCCAATAAAAATCCTAACAGTTTTTATGGAACTTGAAACGATGACTCTGAATTGAATATAGAAGAACAATGGCCCAAGAAGAGCCAAGTTATCTCTGAAGAAAAATCAGGGAGTTCTTGCAATACCAGACACCAGAACTTATTAGTAATCTCTAATAATTAAGGCAGCATGATTTTAGTGTAGATGTATATAAATTGATGAAATAGCTCAAAAACAGACCCACACATATATAGAATTAGAATCTATATCAATGGTGATTTGTATAATCTTTCACCCATCAGACTTTCTCCTTTTGGACTCTTTCCCATGGAACTCTACAAGTAAATAATGTTAAATGCACAAAATGTTTATTGTATAACATTATAAATTTTGAATATTGAAATCTGGGATGAAATGTTCATTAATAGGGAGCTCATTAAATAAATCATAAATTATAATAAATTATAATGAGTATCACATAGCTGTCAAATAGTCTAAGGAGGAGCTCTAAGTACTGACATGGAAAGAAGCATCATTCTGTTAAGTGAAAATAAGGTGTGTGGGTGAGTGTATGTAGGAAAAAGCCTGGAAGTAGATACATACCAAGTTGTCAATGGTAATTTTATATATATATAAAATTTATATATATTTATATATATATATGGGGAAGAGGAGGGATTTTACTTTCTGGTTTAAATGTTTTGGTGTGTTTTACATATTAGGAACTAGCGTATAATTTTTAAAGAAATAAAACAAACATTTAAATGACTAATTTCTAATACTAATAAAGCCAGACAATTTTAAATTGTTGGAAAAGTTGGTGTCCCTTTTGGATACTGTTACGAGAGACAGTCAAGACTGTCTGGAACGTGGAGCTGGCTTAGTCAAAAGCTGCTTTCCTCTAGGTGCTGCAGAGCTACATGAGTTTGTTTTTAACTTTCTGACAGTAACAACTGTAATAACAACAACAATGACAATTTTTTTCATCTGCATAGTCCATAGTTCAGTGATTTGTGATTATGAAGCGAGTATTTTTTAATTTAGAGCTTGTTAAGTTAGATGTTCAACCAACTTCTTAGAGAAAAATAGTAGCTTTCTTAGAAAAGCAGATTGACAGATTTGTAGTAGATCCTATCATGAAAATTAAAATTGATTATTGATTGGTTTGTTGAAATCCTGAGAAGGCTTATAACCTGTTTAGCACACACTTGATTTTTTTTTCCCGTAGATTCCTGTTCATCCTGTGCCCGATCCCTTAGTTCACGAAGTTCTAAACTTAGCTTTTAAGCACTTTAAACATAAGGAAGGGTAAGTAAAGTACTTATGGGATTGTTGCTTTTCTCTGTGGTCCAGGTTTAGTTTGTTAATTTGGACTCTCATGGATTATTTGTTTTTGGAGTACAAAGCAATTATCTTCCTCTTTTTTTTTTTTAAATCCACATAAGATACTTGTGGGAAAGATTTTGTCAAAATAATTCTTAAAACCATTGATTGGATTTATAAGAATCATGTTTAATTTCCTGGCAAATAAAAATCCAGAGATAGAAGAAAATTCATAATGGTTTTTCAGCATCCTACAAATGAATCTTCAGAGAAAATTTATACAACACTGATAAGGAATTTTTCAGATTTATTAAGAAAGAGAGTTTGTAGGAAAATTTAATGAAATAATACATTTGTTCTTTTGTTATTTTAGATATTCAGGAACCAACACTGGGAATGTGCATATTATTGCAGATTTATATGCAGAAGTGATAGGCGTTCTTGCCCAATCAAAGTAAGTTTTCTGAATCACTGATTGTGATTTGCTTTGCGTTTCAGAATGCTTCATTACTAATGAATAGAATAGACTGACAGTTTTAGATCTACTTTTTTTTTCCATAGAGTTACTGTAAAGTCCGCTCCATCTTTTTCTTCTTTTTTTAATATATTTTTATTGAACTATAGTCAGTTTACAATGTTATGTCAATTTCTGGTGTATAGCACAATGCTTCAGTCATACATGAACATACATATATTCGTTTTCATATTCTTTTTAACGATAAGTTACTACAAGATATTGAATATAGTTCCCTGTGCTATACAGTATGAACTTGTTGTTTTGCTCCATCTTTTTTTATTTCATAGATCTTTTCCTTAGAGAATTTTTAAGTGACACTCATACCTCAATTTCTCAACTTATTTTCATTTATTCGGGCTTTTCCGTAAAACCTGAATTGAGTAAGTCAGAAATTGCCAAGAAAAGTCAGGACATTACCTTATTCCCTATTTTTCACAGTTCTGTGAGAAGTCTTTTTAAAAATCTTTCTTTTGAAACTCTTTCCATAGCTAATAATTACTTTTAATACTTTCTAGTTAGTACTTTTATTTCTGAGATAGCAATGCAGAGTCTTCCTTCTAACCATCTTATTTGTTTTAATACCAAACCGAGTTTTGAATAGGTAGAAGACATACCAAAAGGAAAGATAAATGATACTAGATTACTCCATAAAAAGGGTATTCCTTAGGAGTTACACTCATTGAATTGTGTTGAACAGTCATTACAGTAAACAGTAAAAAAGATGTTTGTCTTTAGTATCTTGTGATTGCTCTAAAGACTATGGGAGATTTTGAATTTCCTTTATTGCTACTGGGAAATTTACAAGGAAAAAATGTATCAATTCAGATTTTCTTGGGAGCTATATAAAGAGTCTTTGGTCTTGAAATTGTCATATAACAACTGTTTTAAATTCTAAGAAAGCAAATACAATTATTGTTAATGTTTAGTACTTTGGATTTTAATGTTAAGTAATGTATTTTATTTAGTATTTTTTTAATTTAGTATTATTTATTTTTTTATCTCTTGTAATACACCGGGGACCCTTGTATACCCAGTGTGATGGAACTTAGAACATAGTTGCAGTATTTGAAATGACTTGGACAATAATATTTCAATATTGCATTTATATTTAATCAACAATGAATCCCTGTCTCAGGAATATAGATACAAAAACATGAGCAATGATATATTTCTTTTTATGACATATAGTTCATGATACTTTAATTTTTATTGAAAATGGTTTTATGTCAGGAATGTAGGTGAGAAATTCTAAATAATACATTAGCAAGTTGGATCCAGAAGAACACTCCATCACAGCCAAGATAAATCTAGGGTGGTAAAGGCAGTAAGTCTAAGTGGCCAGTAAATCTGTGAAGTGATGCTCAGCCTCACTGGCCTAGTTGTAGGAGAAATGCCACTCAAGCAATACTGAGGTCCTTTCCACCCAGATGTACAATGAGCATGGGAAGAATGTGGATGGACCCACACTAGATTAGGCTGATGGCACCGACTTTAGAGAGGGCAAGTGGTGAGGTGGGAAGGGGAGAAAGAGAAAGGCTGGGAGCGTATTAGAACCTTGTCTAGGCATTTGCTTTGATTACAGTAACTAGTAATTATTATGAGAAATTTAATAAAAGAAAAACCCCTTAGATTCTAATGTTATTACAATGGGAAGATTTTTACCCGCTTTATATTTTCTTTATAAAATGCAAAACAGTTCTTTCGTGGAAAATAGTGTTATATTCTCCAAGACTGGAATGGAAATAAGTCGTACTTCCTATCGTGTACCCATATTTCATTTATATCTAATTACATATCCATATGTAATTAACATTAATCTGTCCTCAGTGACCATTGGGAAGTATGTTTCATTTTGTCATTTTAACTTTCAAGAGTTGGTTTCCCCAAGTAACGTTAGCAGTAAAATCATTAGTTGTTTTATAAAGCATAGAGGAGAAAAAATGAAGTATTATTAAACCATAAGATATTAAATTATTAAACTATCAGATATCTTCTTCCAATGTAAGCAAAGAAAAACTTAGTAGCCTTAACAGTTGTGGTCATTTGAATCCAGGATGGTGCTCACATTTCAAAAGCAGTTTGTCTTAAGCTTATTCATATTGTGAGACTAGCATCCTTTCACTCGTCTTCAGTTTTTCTAAGTACAAGGAGATATTAATTTCAAGTGATCATTAGTAGTCTACAATTGATTGGTTTATCTCTTTGAACAAATGTGCAGTCTCCAGTCTGCTCTCCATGTAACTCAAATTGCAAACTTTATCAAAAGGAGCCTTAAGAATTAGAGATACTCTGATTTACATGTGGATGTTTTATGGGTGGACTATTAGATCTTATGTTTATGATGATGATTAACTATGAAATGGTAATGGTGCTGTGTTGACGGTATTATAGGAAGAAGAAACTCTGTTATTTCTCCTTAGGGAATTTCTGGTTTGACAAATACATGTAACAGCACATTTAGAATAACAAATAATTCTGTTTTCTTCTGTACATTTTTCTGGTAACTTTGATGAGGGCAGGGAAAGGAGGTGATGTTTAGATAAAATACTTTTTGGTTTCAACCTTAAGTATCATGTGAGAAATGAGTGTTTTTAATTCACATCAAATTGTGTATCCCTGTACATTAAAGGTTTCAGGCTGTGAGGAAGAAGTTTGTGACAGAGTTAAAAGAGCTGCGACAAAAGGAACAGAGTCCACATGTAGTTCAAAGCGTCATCAGCTTAATAATGGGGATGAAGTTTTTCCGCGTGAAAATGTATCCCGTAGAAGATTTTGAGGCATCATTTCAGTTCATGCAGGTGACCTGTCTTCTCAGTTGCAGTCTCTAGACTTAGCCTAACAGTGATTGTTTCTGCATTTCATGACTTTTTAAAGACACAAAGTAAATATAAATGAATGACATGGTTATTAATTCCTTATCCCAAGTTTTAAATTGTCACAAGTGTGAATTAACTTTCTTTTCAAATTTGGGCATGATTTGAACCTAGCTTTCTGGAAAAATTGCAGAGTGTTTACAAAATTATTGGGATAGTAAAGTTACTTTAATCTTCCTCTTTTGTTAATCTAACATACTTTTTTTCCCCTCTCAAGGAATGTGCTCAGTATTTCTTAGAAGTCAAAGATAAAGATATAAAACACGCACTTGCTGGTTTATTTGTGGAGATTCTTATCCCTGTAGCTGCTGTAAGTATATTTTAATTTTTATGTCATGCTTTAAAAGTAACTTTTTGTTGAAGAAGTTGACACACGAAATAGTCTTACTTTCTGGTCATGTCATAGACAGTTAAGTGGAACTCTGAATGTCATGTAGGTGTGGGGAAATGGTTATTAGGCAAATAGCAGAATAGCATGGATCAGTCTTTTAATTAAAAGAACAAGCCCAGGCCCTTAAGATGTAGAGGCTGTTAGGAAGGCAGAGAGGATTTGTAACCTGAAAGTAATGGTTATCTCAAGTAGCTCAGTCTAACACCCTGCATTTACTCATGGCGTTTGCTGCT